ATTAGGCACCGTTATTTTTTGCCATTTGACCTTGACCTTGATATTTGACTTACTTTTGAAAAACTTTAACCTTTTCCATATCTATTCAATGGTTGCTTCTAGGGCTCTCATATTTCACAGGTATATTCCTCGAGACAAGACCATACTTTGGGTACCGTTATATTTGATCTGCATTTGAGAAAGTTTAACCTTTGCTATAAGTTGCCACGGGGGCATCAGTGTTTCACAAACACATCTTGTTTTAAAATGTTCCGGATAATTCACCACTACTATTCATTTATTTATTATTAATTGATTAATTAATTAATTAATTGATTTATTTATTTATTATTAATTAATTAATTTATTTATTTATTTGAGAGTACTTCTATGGGGGAAGCATTATGTTATATAAATTGTGAAAGGTCCTATATGATGTGGTTGATTTTTACAAAGTTTTGCGATTTCAAATTTGCAAAAAGGTCCTTGGCATTTCAAGCTCTGATATTGACGTAAGCAAACTGCGAGTATATGTTGGGGTACTAGTTGTAGAATCAAAGCCAAGTTCCTCTGAAATGCAATTATATATAGATAGCAAAAGAAATATAACGAGAAAATAACATTAGGTGCATACTTACATCATTTTCATAAGATTTGAGATTTTTTTTCTTACTTCCTTCCCGCTATATTGTAGTACGGCTAATAAAACATATGCCCGTGAAAAAAGTTCCTTATTATTATATGGACCAATTCATACTTTGTTTCTTTGAAAAGTCTCGTCAATGGTAATGCGAACAATAACGCACACCTTTTAAAATGTTTACATGTGTATCTGCTGTTTCCGCGTTTTTACACCATATCAATATACATGAATTTAACACAGCTTTGTGAAATATAATTGAAAATTTCAATATGACGTCAAAGGGTTTAAGGCTTAGCTACGAAGAATTTAACTTTTTCATTAAATTGGTACATTATGTTTTGGGTGTTGACTTAAAAAGGAAATTCAAATAAAACCTAAAAAGTTGGAGTCGGCTCTATTTGAGGATCATATTGGATATGTTTTTGTGCTAATAAATACAATAGAATAAGTTTTAAAAAGTCAAAACCTAGATGAATGGATAGATTTCAGTAAAGACAAATATGCCATTAACATAGGATTGTATTTTAAATAATGTTGCGGCAGTAATATGGACGCCAAAAGTCCAGACTCATTCTGAGGCTTCAAATAACGGAATATATATACATATATATATATATATATATATATATATATTTTTTTTTTTTTTTTGGGGGGGGGGGTCCGGACCAGACCCCTACCCTGGAATTTGCAGAGTTATTAAATGTACATAGAAGGTAGTTCAAAAAATGACATTGGTCCCCCCCACCGGAAAACGTGGATCCCTTTTCAGTTGGTAGGAAGAAGCTGTCAAATGGCAATTGTTAGCTTCTCAGGTCGACACTTCTCCGCCTGTATACACATGTTTATCAAGCCTGTTAATATTAGTATTCTATATTTTGACTTCTTTTCTAAGAACAACTGAACTGATTAATTATAACTCGTTCAAATTAAACTGAAAACCTAAAATAGTTTTTTTTTTTAACAAACCTTAACTATAACCCCCCCCCCCCCCCAGGGGTCACTAATTCTGTGTAGGTTGGTAGGTAGAAGAAAAGGAATTTGACGTTGTCCACTCACCATCCATCATTTTGATTTTCGTTTGTCATGTTTGTGGAAAGATGTTTTTTTTTTTATTATTTTTAAATCCCTTGATGACTTTGTTTTGATCGAGTATCCCCCCCCCCCTTTTAAGAAAAATTCCTTGACCCACCGTTGTTATTACTCACACATGTTCACAGATAGACAGAAAAACATGTAATTAAAGATTGATTATCTCTTCAGCACTTAACATGATCATGCAAAAAAAAAAAAAAAAAAAAAAAAAATTCGAACAATTTTGAAAATGTTCAACTTATCGACACGCCAAGTTGCAGGAATCTACTGTAACAGATGATAGCAGATAATCATCGTTTTTTAAATTGATGTTTACCATCCTATCTTGTTAAGATATTTGACATTAACTTGATTTGTTTTAAACATAATACCGAGAAAATTTTTAATAAAATACTGGTTCGATATTCTTTTAACCAGATTCAAAACGTCCTATAATGTGAATTCATTAACACAAGTTAACATTGTTTAACTTCTATGCATAACATTACCTACATACGCAGTTTTCAACCAAGAAAAAAGATTACAAAATCAGATGTTAGAGTTTTGGGGTTCCCTGCTGCTTGCCAGAAGGAAAATAGTGTAGGTCAGATATAGACAGACATTCTTGTGCTAGGATTTGACCTCTTTTTCAATAAATAAATAAAATACCTTAAGTTGAAAAACCGGCTTATTAGATGTAGAAATGTGACAACTTTGTTAACTTCCAGAGTTTTAATGTGTGAGATGTAGGAACTAACTATGGCATGTCAAACGTTGCAATATTCGATCTTTTCCATTTGTATTGTATAACTTTCCATTTGTATTGTATAATTTTTATTTGTATTGTATAATTTTTCATTTGTATTGTATAATTTTCCATTTGTATTGTATAATTTTCCATTTGTATTGTATAATTTTTATTTGTATTCTATAATTTTCCATTTGGATTTTATAATTTTCCATTTGGATTGTATAATGTTTATTTGTATTCTATATTTTCCATTTGTGTTGTAAAAAAAATCATTTGTATTATATAATTTTTCATTTGTATTCTATATTTTCCATTTGCATTGTATAATTTCTTATTAGTATTGTATAATTTCTTATTTGTATGCGATAATTTTTCATTTGTATTGTATCCGAGGATTGTTTATTTATTTCGTTACGAAGGATGTCATTGGTCATAAAATTTAGTCTGTATAAAGGTGCCCATCACAAACTTAGTCTGGTACCCTTCCCACAATTCCGATCGCGCACTCTCTACAAACACAAACTCGGCTCCTCTATTTGCGGTGCATACTAAGGGACGACCATTTGATTCTCGGGGGGTGTCGAATCCGATTATTTATTTTCATTCTCTCGCAGGAGAGAATATTTATTTCCAATATGACCAGAGACAAGGAGAAAAAAAAAAAAAAAAAAAGAAAAAGAAAATCCGCCCAAACCCGAAAACTCAGTTTTTTGGGGCCGGGGGTAGTTACCACCACTCAAGGTCAATTTATTTATTTTCTCAGTTAGCATTTCTAAGGACAGATTATTTATTTGCCATCTACCAGCGCTCCCTTTTTAGAATCCAATGACCGTCTAACATGCACGCAAATACATATGCCGCCGAAATATGGCTGAAATATTGCCGACTCGGCGTTAAACAATAATCAATCAATCAATCAAGCAAATACATATGAGCCCAGTTTGCTTTGAGCATCCGGAACATCTTCAACCCGATACAGGCTGAAACTTGACCAATGAAATCCTTCGTAACGAAACAAATAAACAGTCCGCGGATACAATACAAATGAAAAATTATCGCATACAAATAAGAAATTTTACAATGCAAATGGAAAATTATACAATACAAATAAAAATTATACAATACAAATGAAAATTATACAATACAAATAGAAAATCATAGAATACAAATAAAAATTATACAATACAAATGAAAAATTATACAATACAAATAGAAAATTATACAATACAAATAAAAATTATACAATACAAATGGAAAATTATACAATGCAAATGGAAAAGATCGAATATTGCAACGTTTGACATGCCATAACTAACTGTTCTAATCTATTATTAAAATTATAGATAATTCTGTTGTACGTCAGTTGTATTTGATATATAGTTAGTTAACATGTCTGAAAAGTTGGATGTACACACAGTACATGGCCACAAGTGAGTCATAACTCCCTTTTCATTAGTATTACATATTTCATTGAAGAAAGTTTTTATAAAACCTTATTATGATTCAAAGGTCAAACTGATCTCCATTTTTATTTATTTTTTTTTCATTGAAGAACGCAAAATTGTTAAAATGATCTTTTACTAAGATATTAAGCAAAATGTGATACACTGATTATTGAAAATAATTCAAGAAAAATCAAGGCAAAATGTTTAGCCTAAGAATACTTTTTCTTTTCAAATTAATGCGCCGTAAATTTTTAATTTTGCATTTGATCTTTGATATCCACCAAAAAATAAAATGCTTTTGAAATTGTTTGAAGATACTACGAACAATACAATTCATTTATGTTTAACTTGTATTCTTTAAAACTGAGCAACAAATAACGCAGCAGCGCGCTCTCTCTCTCTCTCTCTCTCTCATCAATACTTCTGTTATTTAATAAATGTTGGATATAGTAGTATTGATATTCATTGCTTATTTATATTTTTTTTTTTATTTTCTAACCAGAAAAAATATCTTCAGCTTTAATAAAACACGATACTGAGTTATAAAATTTATCCTTTGAATACGATGTTAATAATTAAAAAGTGTCATAAATAGCAAATAAGAATTTTCATATTACAAAGTCTTGCTAATAAATGCATATATGGAGCTCTTAGCTACAATGAAGCTAAAAATATGCAATGAAAATTTAAAAAGCATTTTTTGGATCAAGTACAATAATAAATTACAATTTTAAAGAGTAAATTCTCGTACTGAATAAAATCAACCACTAATCTAACTCATCAACAATGTTTTAAGACCGGATGTTTGATATAACAAACCGTGACTGCACATTAGTTGAATACAATAAACTGTTTTCCACAAGTATATATAGTATCCCATTAGGTACACGCACTTGATTAAAGATGGAAGTTGCTTTTGTTTTGTTTTGTTTTTGTTTTTTTTTTTCATATACGTTACTCAATAAACTTGATGTTTCAATCAATAGAAACAAGTTACTTACACACAAAATTAGAGCAAGCAAGCGATTTGTTTACGATGAATTGGCCTTATTTTAGAACATCTCGCCGCCATACGTTTTCCTTCCTGATAGGAAGAAACACACTAAAATGGCAGTCACGCTAGGATCTTGACGTCTAATTTTTGCTAACAAAGGTAATTTAAGATTCTGAATTCTTTTAAAGTTTCTTTTTGTTTTACTAATAGGTCAATATCAATATATATTGATGCAAAATCAATATGTAGACACAAATATTATATGTTTAGTAGACATTTAGTTTCAGTAATATTCGTTTTTTCTTTCTTTCTTTTTATTATTATGGTACAACCTTGTTGTATCTTAAAAGCCTTAGTTGTTTTGTTAACCAGTTTTCTTCCTTTTCAGAAAGATGTATATATCAAATGATTATGAAAATGCTTTTCTTATTAAATTTGAAGATGAAGTCACAATCCTTGACAATAAAGATTACTACGCTGTTTTGCATAGTGTCCATCGATGTGACAGGTGATTTTTAAAAATGTTTCCCATTTATACCAATATGTATATATATATATATATATATATATATATATATATATATATATATATATATATATATATATATATATATATATATATATATATATATATTATATGTTTATTTTATCATGTTTATAGAGCCATATCTATGATTAGGTGTATCATATGTGAAGGAAACTTATAAAAAGAAAATATATATATAATAATGAAAGATACTGATTTAATTATAAAGGTATTTGTTATTTTATTAACATTTTACATTTTTTGAAGTTCAGAAAGTAAAAAAAAATTAACTTTTTCAAACATCATGAAAACAACCATCTATGTAATGTTTATATATGTGCATGTATGAATAAAATGGATAGATTTTGATTTTTCACTATATTTTCACAATATAGCCATATGAAATGATAAATAAAACATTATATATTAGATTTATATCGATGATGACAGAAAGATAACATTTTGAACATCACAAAAAGTTTACAATTTGTTTAGAAAGTTATAAGCATCATTCACAACCATTACAGGGCCTAAAATATAAACCAATCAACGCATCCTTTTTTTTTGGGGGGGGGGGGGAGGGGTTATCATCAATTGCCTTTAGTTTATCTTGGATTGCAAGCCCTTTAATTTGCCATTGTAGATATAATTGGTCCTTGGAACATTTAGCTCAATTTAAAGTACATCAGTCTGTTGAAGATATTTACCATAATAATAGGCAATTATATATAAGTGGACTAAAAGTGCTAAACAAGGGTGAACTAAAGTGTTTACGACAACAGAAATGTCCATTGAGGCAGGAAGTTTAGGATATGTGTTAGTGTAACAAAGAGATATCATGAAGCTACTTGGCTTAATTCTGCTCTCTCTCTCTCTCTCTCTCTCTTAGGGATAAAACTAGGCGCAGTTTTGTAGCCGTAGTATCTATTTACGCAAAAAGTCCTTGTGGTGTCCATACAGCACATGAACCCAAAATTTACATTATATATAATACACTATCAGCTATGCTATGAAATAAAAGGTCTTATTCTGTCAAAAATTTGAATTTGAATCTTGAAAAATAATATTTCGCAACAATTCATGTATGCTTAATATCAATGTTTTATTTCTCCTCCTTAAAATCTCAACAATATTGATTTCAATTGGGTCAAAGTTCAAATATAGTTATATTTTTATCGTAATATCTTATACATTTACAAAGGAGCAGTTAACTAGAAGCAATATTGATAATAAAGGTTTTAGGTCAGCTAACCAATATTAATAGGAAGCAAGGACTATCGAACAGCATCACGTCAGAACCCCCCCCCCCCCCCCAGAAATTCGAATACATGTATGGTATCAGTTTACAATTACAGTGATGTATATAAAATTAAAAGATTTCTCTAGTAAATATAGTGAGGACACTCAAAATTATGACAACAAATTTAAATAAGTCAACTGCGCATACAGCAGACCATGCAACCAAACACGTGATGTAGATCGAGGTCACGTTTGAGTTTGAGTATTTAATAGCCCACTTGAAGCTGGCCACCACATGCAGAAATGTAATATTCAATTGGTCAATCGAGGTCAAATTAAGGTTAACACAGTCATAACAATGGAAGCAGCGATAAGTTTGTTTTGAACTTTTTTTGGTAAAATTAAATATGAGCTTACGTTTGTTGACTCAACTTCTTTTAATTTGACATTCTTTCTAAACACACCCGACAAACATGCGCTAACGATGAATTAAGACGTTGAAAAATAACATGTCACTGATTATCTATTGAGAAGCAAGAAACCATGGCTGCCTTTGATTTTTATTTGGTTTTCCTTGAAACGATTTTTTTAATTCATATATGCATCAAGGTATATGGTTAAAATAACGGTGATTAATATATTATGAAAAAAAATATCATTTTATAAAACTTGAACTTACAGCTTTTTTTCAGGACTCTAAAGTTCACTTATTCTCTAACATTTTTTTAGATGCGGGTAGGATGTGGTTTTGTAAATCAGATGGTAAGTATGCTACATTTCCGTGATTAATATTAAGAGGTATATTCTGATTGATGTATGTACAAGTATATGCCATTCGCTAATTTAAGAGAAAGAAATCATTTCTGCATATAATTACATTTACATTCGTTGTGGAGAGTCTTAAGAAAGGTTTTAAATAAAAATTCTCTATATTTTGCTATGCATTCAAAAGAAAAAAAAATGTAAACAATGCATTGTTTTTCCGAACATTATTAGGCTAGCCTTTTTTCATTTCTTTTTTTTGTTTTGTTTTTTGTTTGTTTGTTTGTTTGTTTGTTTTTTGTTTTTTTTTAAATTTTTTTGTTTGTTTGTTTGTTTGTTAGGGAAATGCATTTAAATAGTTCACTAAAACCGATTGTAATATTGATTGAAATTAAAAATAAGTTTTTTTTCTAAATGAATTCTTCTGCCATAGATCCCTGCAAAGAAGCAAATACAACAGCACCTTACCAGCCTAAACTACGAGCCAAAAACTGCCAGTTTAATAAAACTCCGTATTGTGACCGCTTCATTACTCCAGGCTGGTATAGATTTAAAGATGACATGCTGAATCATCCACCTGATTTATTTGAATGTGGAGCTGTGTACCCTTACTGGCTCAATGGTAACCTACAAAAATAATTAGAGTGGCAGCTATTGCAGGCCCATAGGAACCAGGAGATTGAAGGGGGGGGGGGGGACTAAGCAACTTCTCAGTCAATACGACATCCAAGCACCATTCCAATGAAAAAGAAGCTTACGGATAATTGTGTATCCTCAATTATTCTGAAAACCGTATTTTATTTAGGCTTCTTCGGGAATTTCTGTTAGCCCCATTTTTTGCTATTTTTATCGAAAGCTATTGCCCGTACTAGGTTATAAAAGAAACGACAAGTTACATGATTCAAAAAATAGTTTGTTTAATATATATTTTGCACCCCCCCCCCCAAAAAAAAATGCAGATTAGACTTAATGATGGAAAAAATAAATTATATTGAGGAAAGTTGAAGAGGATGGTATAAATTTTTTTACTTAAAATTGCCACTGCATAAAGTATCGTGCTAATAGAATTTAACAGTGTTTTCAATGAATATATTGTACCTAAAAGTGCCTATAAAAGTTACTTATTGTATTTATAATTCCTAGGAACACTTCCATCTAAGCAGGACGAGGAGGTGGACAGGACCGCTTGTAAAGTTGGTTTCAGAAAAAAATGCACCAGACAAGTCACCATCACTATTAGGCACTGTGGATCATTCAATGCCTACTGTCTTCCTTACCTTGGTGCTTGTTCCGAAAGATATTGCTTTGGTAAATATCTAGAATTTTGTTTGCGATATATGTCTGAACCGAATGCTCAGTCGAGCATTTCGGTGTCTGCCTATTCCGTCTGTCTGTCGGTATGTATGTCGTGTGTTTTGTGGGGTCTGAAATCTTTTAACATTTTGAACTACTGGAACAATTTCAATCAAACTACCAGGAAGCATCCTTTTTGAAAGCTGCCTTTAACATGTTTACAAAATTAATTGTCTGTTTAGAGGGTAAATTCCTTTTCATTAGAGCATCAAGGCAATATTAGCTATTTTGATTCTGAAAAATCCCTTCTGAGTAATAAGGATTCAAGTATGGTAAAGTCATGATACTTTGAAGCTAAGTTGGGGCCTCAATGTGTGTTCCACACCTGAGGAAAAAAATAAAAAAAATTGTCTTTTTTTCAATATTTTCTGAAGAAAATCAGGGAAAATGTTATTTGGGTCATGTATATCTACTTTTTTAAACTGAATTCTTTTACCTCGATGATTGAGGAACTTCATACACTGCTAGAATTATATTCATATTTTGTATAAAAATAATCACTATTATTTCCTCCCAAAGAACTTAATGCCTTTAAAACTGTTTTAAACTCAATCATTTTTAATCGTTCTTTCTTCTTCAAAGAATATAAAAAATATATGAGAAATATCTACTTCTTTATCCAGGTGAAAGAGATGCTGCTTGTGATCAGACAACCCCTAACTCTCCGCGGACAGCCACACCCCCGACGGTAACCAAACGTATCAAGAGAATGACAGGTAGCACTTCAGAAAAACCAAAAGCACCATCCATAGAAAGCCTTCAAAATCGACTCTTAGCTGAGATTTGTTCAGCTGGTAAGTTATGAGGAATTTAGCCTATAGGTCTTACTAGATATATAACATTTCTATGAAATTGATTGATACTTGCAATAATCTTAACAACATGAGAGCAATTTCATTTTTCTTATAAAATAGATCCGTGTAAATCAAACGACCTTCCTAGGATTCCATTTGTAAAAAGCAGGGGTGAAAATTGCAAGTATAAACACACTATGCAATCGTGTGACCGGGATTTGGTCCCAGGATGGTATAAGGCAGAAACAGGAGACCCAAAACTCCTGAACAGATGTCCAGATGTCCTATCTTGTGGCGCACTATACCCTGTCTGGATGGACGGTAAAAATTACATTTTTTACTTAAACGAGTAATATACATGTAAGTTGTCTATATCATTTCTAGTGCCAGCATACTGAGATTTTGGCAGTCCGTTCCTCAAGATTTTCCCTGGCTATGTTACACCTCTATCAAAATGTGTTTTGATTTTCTGCTGTTTTCACACGATTACATTATAAATGTATCTCAATGAAGTTAAGAGCAAGACATTATTTGCCAAATAAATCTCTGTTTTCGTGCATGTAAAGGCTAAGCTACTTTCGATAGGGCAGCAGATAGGTTACGTAGATTTTAATGCAGCTTTATGTAGTAAGTTAGACTAAGTAATTGGTGTATATTTAGCAAAATCAAATTGATTCCTGAGGTAAAGGTGAAGGACTGAAAGGAAAATAAATATGATATTCAAACCCATCTTAATTTTTATGTAGCAACAGAATACATGTCTTGTTCTTTTAATTTAAGGTATGCATCCTAATAAAAATGAAGGTATTGTGCAAAGAGAACTCTGCATTTTTGGACTCGGACTAGGGAATTCTCATTCTTGCTGCCATGAAAGAAGCCACATATATGTGAAAAACTGTGGACTTTACATGGCGTATTGTCTGAAACCCCTGAATAAATGCGAGGAAAGATATTGCTTTGGTATAATATTACAGTTTTTATGTTATGAAGCAAATTCATATATGAATAAATGATTTTACGTATACAGGAATCCATACATTAAAGTCTTGCTTACGTTTCAGATAACAATGAGACCTGCACTGATGATACGGACATGTCAGTGGATTCTTCTTTACTTCACAGTAAGTACATATACCACTGTTGTTAAAATATCACTGACCCTGAACCGTGTTTAACTCTGTTTAAGGTTTTTGTCTATGATTTTTATTCAATGTTTGCTTTTCCTTTTGGGTAAACGATGTATCGTTTCGGTTAAACCGTGCAGCCTTTTGTGTACACAGTCGTAATGTGTTTCAGGGTCCTTAATGAATGCTAGTTAAATAGTTATCCATTTTAGCATAGTGCAAACATACAGAAGAGTTAGCTTCATCTGACTATTTGATTCCATTTACTGTATTTTATCAATAACTGTTTCTTTGTCAATTCTAGGCAGACAGTCTCGGCTTCCTGTCATCGTTACTGCCGCTGTAATGACTGTATTAATGGTGATTGCAACGACGCTTGTAATCATTGCTTTCAAAAAAAGGTTTGTATGAGTATGTTTGGAAGATCTTACGAGAAGTCTATATAAACACAAATATTTAAATTTATCTGAGACGGAAAGTCATGCCCCGACTTTTGTCTGCACTTTTTCCAGATATTTGAGCGATTTCCTTCAAACAAGAAAGGGGCATTTCTTATAAGCTTGAATAATTCTGACCGATTCTAGGAGTTACTCTATTTTTCGGACAATATTATCTCATTGAATAAGTGCAATACTTGTTTTTAGTGTTGACTATCGCTAACAATGCCGAAATTTAATCGTCGCTAAAATACATTTAACGTCAAATTAAATACCGGTGATCGCTAAATGCTCTCGTTATACGAAGCATTATATCTCTATTTTTTTTTAACTTATCTTAGATCTAATTACTCTTAGCCATAAGAATTCCTATGAATCGTGGAAGTGTTTTCTCATATTATGAGGGATAAAGGGAAAGTTCGTATACTTGAAAAGACAAAGCTCCAATAATTAATACCTATAGCAGAACTTTAGATGGCTACAAAAAGTTCAATGTTTCAAATAAATAGAGGATATTCGATGTTTTTTTTTGTTAAATAAGGAATTTATTTCACGAGTGGGACAGGGTTTGTTTTTATATTTTCACTAGAGCGAAGCACAAGTGAAAAGAAGTTCTGTCTCACGAGTGAAATAAATTTCATATCTTCCTATAAATTATTGAATTTTCTGTTCATTACATTTTCTTTGATTTTCTCTTTGCTTTCCGTAACACAGTGTCCCCGGCTGTGACGTCATAGCTGAGCGGTTGAGACGTCATAGCTTTCAACAACATACTTGGCGAAACTTTGGCAGATTGTTCTCTGTCAGGATGGCTTATTTACTATCTCTATTTTATAACAGGCCAAAAAGTATTTTTAAAAACATTTTTCATGTAGGGAAGGAAAATCTCGCGTTTTGCCGTACCTCTAATATCTTTCACACTATTATAAAATATCACTCTGATATTCTTTCACACTGTGACAAAATATTTCTTTTATTCAATAAATAAATTACAGTATTTCACTTAATTTGAAAATGTGATAAAGTTGTATTGATCAACAATTAGATTCGTAACACAAATAAAAAAAAAAACACACATTGCCTTCAATCTCAATCTTAAAATTGTTCATTTAGTTAAGCTTGTACCATAGGACTGGCGGTAAATTTAGATTTTGCTTTGATGTTGCTGTACGTGGTGTATTTGCCAGAAGAATCACAGTTTTTTTTAAGTCACGCCCACCTTTTGGCATCAAGCCATACTGTGACAAGACCTTGACTGATGAATAAATGATGCCAATTTCCAGACCTGGCTGATGAATAAATTAAGTCAACATTTGTCATTTAAAAAATACTAACATTAGCTTGTCGATGTTCGTTTCTTAAATGTTTCTGTATGTTTTCTCCGTGTATCCTTAATCAGTAAATGATACGTCCTATCTCGAGTTCTCGTCATTTTCTTTCCCGTCTCCAAATACAAATAGCAATATCACATCAGAAGTCCCCGCGTTTTTTTTAATTCCAATACCATTTCAAACTTTCATTAAAATGTCACAAATCATTTCATTTTTTTTTTCTGTACGCTGATTGCCATATAGAGAAAGTTCAATGGCGATGTTTCCCATACCCGTCCCCCTTTTTTCAAAAAAAAAAAAAAAAAAAAAAAAAAAAAAAAAAAAAAAGGATCTAGAAAGATAAATTTTCTGTCAGAGTTCACGGATTGAATATAAAAGCGTACAATCGCTACCCTGTACCTGACAAAAATCATGTTTTCTGCGTCTTCAACATTCCAAAGGTACAATATCGTCACTCGTATCAATTCCGAATTTTTTATCAACAATTCGCAGTAGCAGTGACGCAGCTAACTATGATCCTTGCAGATGAAGACAGCTATTTATACAGACTCCGGACCGTGGCTTGACACCTCGTAGTAGGCGGTGCTAATTATCAACATGCTTTTCTCTCATTGGTCCTCTGGTGCAAGTAACTTACACAATAGATATTAATTGGTTAGCAGTAAATACACTCACAGTTTTTATTCACTCGGGGCTCCGCCCCTCGTGAATGAAAAACTGTGAGTGTATTTACTGCTAACCAATTAATATCTATAGTGTAACTATAACTTATCTATGCAATTAACATTTTGCTTAGAAAATATTCGTTGTGATTCTGTTAAGTTTTTCCCCTGATTCCGTGACCATACATGCTTTGCAATCTCTGTAACACAGTTTTGGGGGGAATCTGTAGATGTCTCGATAATAATAAATAAACATCATTCTTTCCATAAATTTCTTTTGAGAGGTAACAATTTCTAAGTTAAAAAAATGTAGCTTGGTAGAAATTAAGTTATATCAGTAGAAACTCAGGTGGAAAATGGTGGCAATTAAGCTCAAGTCATTTTTATTCTGTTATACATGCATTTTAAATATTCAGCACACAAATTAAATGTCAGAACATTTCCCTATCAAATAAATTTATACTTTAATATAAAAAGTGATAGGGAGTAAGGTTCAAAGAAAGAAAGGTATGCAATATGAAGATACTTGTGTGAAAATTGGCAAAAATCAATTAACCAGACTTGTAAGAGATTTATTAGGACCCGACACTCTAATTATAAACCACACTTATAGTAGATATGTTTATTGCATAGATCAGATTAATTTGAATTATACTAGTAGTTGTAGAGTGTTTCGGCAGTTAAGTAGCCTCATCAGGGGTCACAGACACGTAATAAGATGTTAATGCCTCTGGTTTAAAAAAAAATGTTATAGATAAAAAGACGTCATATTTACCATTGAATTTGTTACGAATTGACAATCTTTTTACGTTTGTAATTATTTAGACAAACAGTATTTCGGTTTTGCAGGAGAGAAAATAACTATGAAAAACCAAAGAAGCTGGATAATTTCAAGAACGATTATGAAACACTGCGTAACGGATATACATATATGAAGTTTCCTGAGAAGATTCCCTCTAAAGAAGGGTGTGATCTAATCGATACCAATGTCTACTGTGTGATTAATGATGTGCAATAAATAAATATAATCAACACCAACAAATAGAAAATATTATATTAGTTGAAAATGTAGCTTACAGTTAATCTCTAGGTATCCCAGTGATGTTATACATTCAGATCATAAATAGAAAGTTCATATTTGAAAACGAATAAATAATTTGATCCATTAAAATTTAGAGGGATAAAGAAGCATGCTCTATCATGATAATCACCATTTGAGACAACGGCTCGAGTAAACAGCTTTTCTGATCGATGTTTGTCCCGCCTTTAGTCTGTTCGTCTGTATCTTTGAACTTTTAAGAGTTTTAATTTTATCCAGAAACACTGGGCCAATTTCAGATAATCTTGACTAAAAGTAAGGATAAAGTAAGGGTAAAGTAAGTCAAGTTTGTTCAAATGAACGGTCTTAATAATCAAGATACTAAAGAAAAGGCCGAAAAGAGTGGGGTCATTTACAAACAACTTTTTGAAAAATGAAGTCAGAATGATGAAACTTATTGGAAAGCTTCCAAACTGAGGATAATTCAGGTTTGTTGAGGTCATGGTCAACAGAGATAGGTCTCAAATGCTTTACATGGATACACACAGGGACAGAACAGAGACAGCTTAAATGGAAATAAATGTAAAAAGTAAAAAAAAAAAAAATGAATTGTTTTCAAGGGATATAGGATCAAACAAATCCATATGAATCTGAAAAGTTCAGCATGCCCTAGTTTTGTGAATTAACATTTTTTTTTTCAAATAATGGACCCTGGGGTAAGGAGGGAGCTTCAATCTTTTCAAGAATAGCAAAGTTTAATTTTCCTATTGATTTTGATGAACTCGCATGTTCCGTGGTATCAGATTTTGATATAAGTAGTGAAATAAGGTGAAAACACATTGTGGGGTCCAAACTGTTCATTTGATTGAAGAGAGAAAATCTTTCCTCTGAAAAGCATTAGGGTCATAGCGACTGAGGTGAGTGTTGTGACCAATAGGCCTCTTGAATATATTGCCAAATCCGATTTAAGAAATTGCGTACATAAAAATAATCATTTTTAATTTATTAGAAGTATTACGCACTATTAATTATCACATTATTTTGTATTGAATATATCGTTAACACAATATACTGTCTAGAGTATTATCAATTAATAAATGCCAAAATTCTGTTATAAGTGTTGTGCTAGCAAAGGATGATAGTTGCTCCTATTCTCGCAGTGGTTGTTTGGAGTTGATTTAAGGAGGAGAAGGACCTTGAGCTGAAACAAATACTTGTCATTCAATTTTTTTCATATTGTGTATATTTCTAATTAAGTATGTCCCACATATCTTAAAGCAGTTATATCATTAGGTTTCTAACCTTATTTTGGAGATATTGATTGACAAATACTATGCCCTACAGTATCTAAGTTGAGGTTTAATTCTCCATGTTTCCGGGCGCATTACTCTGTCCATAATGGGATTTTTTAAGCATACATAAAAAATTTCAAAGTGGACATGTATCTTTTAAAATATTTCAGAGTATACCTAGGATTTAAAATTCGAAAAAGCAAGTTTTGTCTATCACACTGCATCTGGATAGGGAAAATTACGCACTTTTTAAGACAACTTAAACAATAAAAAACGTAATTTACAAAAAATTGTATCATTCAATATTTTTTTTAATTTACGTTGAAATGCAAATCCTTCAAATTATTGATTAACTGTAAAAGTTTCGAATGATGAAGCTGACCTCATTATTTCACAGGACATCGTTAAAAAGGACATAAGCGTGACAAAAACGTGTCATGTTACATTTCTCGAGTACGGGAAAAACCAACTATGACGTCACACGTAAGCTAAATAAGCGAAAAAAGATATACCTACATAAGATTTCCATCATCAGCCATGCAAAAATAATTTTTGTGTTCCCCGTTTCTTAAAATATTTCATCATATACTGATTATGACCTGTTTTTACATAATAATACCGTCCCTCTGGTCACCGAGTATGATCTTGCTGTACTAACAGATCGTGTATGACGTCACCGACTTGTTGGACGCGCAGTTTAGGGAAACAGAGGAGTGGATCAATCTTTTTCATAATTTGTTAATATTTACAAGAATGTTAAAACTTTTATTTTTTTTTTATATAAGATGGTAATTAAAGTTAAAAAATTGTCAAAAAATTATACAAGAACTGATGCTTTACACGTTTTGCACTTATCACTTAACACCGGGTTTTGGGTCTTTTTCGGTCGCTTCTGTTGCTTTTATATCATAATCTTATTTCATTTTTATATATTTATGAAAGAATCCTGTCAATTTCGAGCTGAATTTGAAATATTAAAATGATCTTAGACTGTGATGTGCAATAAAACGATTCTGTTTTCTGTCCTTACTCTTTCCAAATATAGAGAATTTACACTTACCTGCCCTTGATTAAACATTAGGTATGCATGAGAGGTGGAGCTAATATTGTAAGAATGGGTCTAAAATTAGACTAGATAAATAACAATGACATGTATTAAAAAAATACGAGATCACTCTTTCCCATTCCCTCTTTATTCTGTATGGCACAGTACACTATTTTCAGAGGTTTCAAAAACGAAATTAACAATATGAGCGACGTCCATGTAAGTAAAGAATCTTTTAAATCAATGCCTAACAATTTAACGTGTTCGAGCACTTTGTCCTAGTTAGCACAAAACATGCTACTTTACAAGTCATGTGACGGAATTCAGTATTCACAGAGTTACCTGAGGTAAGAAATCACGTGGTGAATTATAATATTCAACATGTCACAGTCCTTTGGTTACAATAGAGAGAGCGAATGTAAGAAGAAGCAGTTTTTTCTCGTTTAAACCATGAGCGCATGTTTGTCTATTAATCTCCTTTTGACACAACATTGTTAATGCAAATATACAACTACTGTTAAACGGAGAACAATAGACAAACATGCGCTGACTATGTATAAAGTCAGTGAAAAAGTGGGCGTCCTCATTATCGTACGGAGATTCAAGGAATTGTGATGACCCCCGCCTTAGAAAACAGCTTCGTACTTCGTAAATACGTACTTTTATTTAATGTAATTACATAAAGTTGTAGATTAGATGTTGACCATTCGTGCAATTAAAAGAAAAATGCTTGTTTTGAAAGTTTATTTTGTCACAATTTTCGCATTCCTTAAGTGCAGTCATCCTTTTCATCATCCATGCAAACATGTAGTACCTATTTGAAATTAAAAATTAGGCAATCGTTTACTGTATTCAAGATTCCTCGAGAAATCTAAAATTTTCAATTTACTTTTACGCTAATTTGTTTATAAATTAGAAAAAATATTGATGCATGTATTTTCCTCATTTTCATTTCATTCAAATCTATAAACTAAGATGATTTAATCATAAAGAGTGTCAAAAAAGATAAAAATTCAAGGCTAAAGAAATTAAGAACGGTGAGGAAAAAATGTAACAGAGGTTAATTTGAAAAGGCACACTGCTAAGATTCAATTGGCTGATTTCAGAGTTTTGTAAAACTCACATATTGCATGTATGTTAGATAAGGTACGGTGCATTTTGATATAGTGTATTGCTGATAGATGCGTTAGGAAAAATAGGTTAGAGTGCCCCAGGAAAACGATACCAAATCTAATTATCATAATTGAAGGAATGTAGTGTTTTTCAATGGGATATGACACAGGCTTTGTTTTTGAAAATATTGTTTAAGAAAAACTTCATATGGTAAGCACATATACATATATGCATCAGAGACCTACGGCTTTAAATGCATGCGCAGTAATAAATATGATTTTTTCCCTATATTTTTCGTATTATTCTTAGTTGTGTTTGTACATTTTTCATTTGTTTTTGGTTTTTTTTTCCACTTAATTTTTACGTGAAATGATTCTATTGAATCTTTTAGCCCTCTCCGGCAAAGACATTGTTACAGTATTGATTAAGTGATTTTTACCAAAACAATCACAAGGTTAAGATTAATTGGAGTATTTAAATTAATTGTAAAGAGCTTTAAAATGTAGAGTACATAGTGCAAACAAAAGATCTCACACCTGCCTCGCCGAATCATCATAAAACATGCCAAAATAATATTTCTTGAAATGTAGAAGTACAGAGAATACAGGAACTATTTTTCTACAGAATTTCAATGACTAATACATGTACAATGAGTAACAAATAAATATGGTACACGAAGAGACACATAGAAAGCAACACTGTGGGTGCTGCAAGAGGGAACAGTGTAAGTGTTTTGTATCGTATTAAAGGAGATTCTAAAGAAAAAAAGAGAGATAAATTTCATGTATTTGCATTTATTTTAAAACTTTAAATTCATAATATTTACCTCAGGGTACTACTACCTAGTCTTAAAATCATTATGGATAGATCTGACATTATAGTGTGTCCACCCTGTTCATATCTGGTAGAAAGAGCCAAGTAAAGCTCTATCTTTAGTCGATAGACATTTGTCCAACACAAAGGACTGTTTCTCAGTGTCATTCATCCATTGATCACGTTGCGAAATTAACTGCAAATCCAACATCACATATCATATTGGTCTCGGAATTTATTTTATGTTCCATGTACTCAGGACTCGGTTAGATTTTCAAGTGTTAAAACGGAAGGAGTCCTAGTATTTTCTTTACAAATAGGGGTCATTGGGGCAAAGGTGAAACATAAAAAAAACAGACTTATATAATGTCTACTACGATAAATGGTTGCTTTTTCCGTTTTCAATACCTGATTTTATACGAAATAAATACGAAGCATGCGTAGTCGGACCAAAAGAGAGACATATTCTGAAATATATTAATCCACATTTTATTGTCAAACTAAATTGATAATGTGTAGACTTTAAATAAAGCCGTAGGGAGCACATTTGTACAGCAATGTGCTAGAATGACAGGTCCAGCCCCTCGAAAATATCAATAGTTCAACGATATCCGCTTTACTATAAATTCTGAATTTTTAAACACGTGTAGCTATTATTCCTACTATTCTGAAAAGTGCTGGGAGCTGGTTGTGCATTGTTTATTTATTCCGTAATTTAACATTATTCCAATGCGTATTACATTTTTGTCTGGAGTTTATAGAAAGACAGCTAAAGTTTTAACAATTCTCGAGCATGAGGAAGTTGCTCCCAGCACTTTTTGGGTTAAGGAATTTGTCTCAAAGAAAACAAAATAAATTTTATAGCGAAAAGATGCCCGTATATCGTTGAACTTTTACGATCTTTGTAGTAGAACATATATGGTCCAATTTTAAACCTGTCACGTGACAAACAGCTAATGTAAGCGATGTCACTTTGGCCGAACTCAGCAGAGACCCGATATATACAAATGCAAACACCACAATTCACATTTATCAAAACTACTGCTGTTAAAAAAATATTAAAATTGTATTCATTTCCCCTGAATATATAAAGTCGTATATTTCATGGGCGTCCTTAACCTAGCTGCGGGCCGTGTCACGGTAGGTTCAAACTTTTTTTTCACACGTTTTTTTCACAACCGACCCCCCCCCCCCCCTCCAATATATTAAATTCCTAAACTACCTATGCTATAGCAGATAGAGGAGGGGGGGGGGGGCAGCCTTTCAATGAACATTTTCAAAGTTTGGAATAAAGTGGGATGGGGTCCTGCTCCCCTGATTCTTCGTGCCTGATAAATAACTTGCTTTCAGACTTGTCCACACTGACAGATAATTTTGTTCCACAGTACTTATACATGTATTAAATTGTGTGATACACATACACCGCCGTAATGGGGTGAAATAATTTAGCGACAGGTAACATTGCTGAAAAGTGAACCCCTCATCCGATACAGCTTTTTTTTTGGTCCGAAATTCTATTTTGGACCTTTCTGTCGCTTTCTCATTCGATCCAGTCTTCTTTTAACTTCACTGGATCCTCGACAGAGAAATCACAACTCTGGTATATATGGAATGATCTTAAGTAGAATATACGGGTAAAAAAAAAATAAATTTTACGAGGTGAAATATGAGCCTTTGTTTTTATATGCATAATATTAACGGCAATGTCTACAATATAAACCTAGGAAGATGCAATACGCTTATATTGTGCGTGAAATTGTAAAATCTGAAAATATATTGAAACATCAACCGTGCACTTGTATAATTGACTGAAAATACAAGACTTCAGAATATTAATTAATCTGATCAATCCTAACCAACGGAATCCAAAAAGATTGTGAATTTAT